ACAAAATAGTAGGATGTTAATTGTTCAAAAGCCAGGTAAATAATGAATACATCAACTTTGACTAAAACTACTGATTCAATCTGTGATTCTAATTGTCAAATTCTATTCTAATCAGATCCCTGCTAGTTCGGGCATGGATCCATCAGAAGCTCTAATGGCCAAGCCAGAACAAAACCTGGTAAGTTTTCTGCCAACCAGATTTGGGTGCGTTCACACTTCCCTCCTAAGTGAACAGAGTTCACTTTGAGTGAATCACTTAGGGAAGAATAATTTGTGAAACCACCAAAATTGCTTAAAGGGACTGTATGTAATATGTTCATATTAAATGTATAACTACATCTTTTATATATTGTCAATCGTTTCAATAAACATATGCAATACACAGTTTGACAGTCTCTATCTAAACCCCATTAGGTGGATTGCATCAGTAATCAGTAATCAAATGACTACTGGGAGCGTGAAAACTTGTTTTCAGTGGTTTCACATCTCAGATGAAACATGTTGGCCATATTTGGTTCACAGACAAATGTCTGGTTCACTTTGGGAGGAACTGTGAACGCACCCTCAACCTGTTCCCTTATGTGGATGAAAAATGAGTCAGAATATAAAACCAATTGTTGCCAACAGCTTTGAAGCCGACATGTCAGAAACAGCCGTTTCTTATGTCCATGCCACTGATCAGCTGAGGCAGGTTCCGGTGCCACAAATGGAGCCTCCCCTTACTGGAACCTCTGGAATTATACAAATATAAGGCACAAATGATAGAATATGCAAGATGTAGTATTAAGGCTAGGGACTTCTATTTTTAAAGCACAAAGAAACTAAAAGTGATTAACAAAAAAAAAAAAAAAGGACAATACAAGGCATTGCATGTTGCAGGTCCTGCTTCGTTGGAGCCAACTTCGTTGACCCCTGGCTGCGCCTAGAAATTCTGTCCATAAATACAGTGAACAGAACCGGTGACAAAGGGCAGCCTTGGCAGAGGCCAACATGCACCGGGAACAGGTCTGACTTACTGCCGGCAATGCGAACACAGCTCTGGCTCCGGTCATACAGGGACCGGACGGCCCTCAGCAGAGGACCCCGGACCCCGTACTCCCAGAGAACCCCCCAAAGGACACCCCGGGGAACACGGTCGAACGCATTCTCCACAAAGCATGTGGACAGGTTGGGCGAACTCCCATGAACCCTCGAGTATCCAATGGAGAGTGTAGAACTGGTCCAGTGTTCTACGGCCGGGACGAAAACCACACTGCTCCTCCTGAATCCGAGATTCGACCATCGGCCGTAGCTTCCTCTCCAGTACCTTGGAGTAGACCCATGGATGTATTATATTAACTGGATAGGGTATTACTAGCTTGTAGCTGAATAACTCACATGCTCAGGGGATTCTCGCGGTACTGCAGACTGAATCAGACTAAATTCACGTGGGCTACCCAGAATTTTTCCCCATAGAACTCAATGCATATTAAAACAGCTCGACCTCAGCTGACAGAGAACCTACAGCTTTAATAAAGATCGGATTTTGTGGGGATTTTAGTGTCCCTTGTCATCCTGATCTTTTTTTCTTCTTAAATCCTTCGGTTTTGTTTAAATCCACACTTTAGTGCCACAAACTCTGCTCCTCTGGCTCTCGCTCTAACTCCCGCTCTGATGAACTGCTCTGATTGGTCAGAGCGCGGCCGAGCCCCTCTGTGCACGTGCGTGAGACCCGGTGTGAGACCCACACACGCGTGTTTGGCGCAACGCATTATGGGAGATCATCCACTGCGCAGAACCGGGAGGACCAGACGATGCCCAAATACAGGCGAGTTTCCCATAGATCTTTGCGAGTTTCAGGCAACTTCCGCTAATCTTTCAGCCCCCATGCTGTCACAAAGCGCCACTGAGCACAACCATTCATTTGAATAGGGCGCCATCTTGGATCGCCGGGGCTTGAGTAGACCTTACCGGGGAGGCTGAGGAGTGTGATCCCACGATAATTGGAACACACCCTCCGATCCCCCTTCTTGTAGAGAGGGACCACCACCCTGGTCTGCCACTCCATTGGTACCACCCCCGATCGCCACGCGATGTTGCAGAGACGTGTCAGCCAAGACAGTCCTACAACATCCAGAGACTTTAGATAGTCAGGACGGATCTCATCCACCCCCGGCGCCTTGCCACCATGGAGGCTGCCAACCACCTTGGTGACCTCGGCCAGGGAGATGGAAGTATCCGCCCCAACATACTCAGCCTCTGCCTCCAGGACAGAGGACGTGGCGGGGGGATTGAGGAGAACCTCGAAGTATTCCTTCCACCGCCCGACAATATCCCCAGTCGCGGTCGGCAGCTCTCCACCCGCACCGTACACGGTGTTGGCAAAGCCCTGCTTCCCCCTCCTGAGGCGCCGTACGGTTTGCCAGAATCCATGGACTCTCCGAAACACCAGAAAAGTGGAGCGTCCAACCCCTCTCAAGGAGTTGGGTTCCAGAGCCCAAGCTGTGTGTGGAGGTGAGGCCAACTATCTCTAGTCGGTATCGCTCAACCTGCCCCCCGAGCTCGGGCTCCTTCCCCCCCAGTGAGGTGACGTTCCACGTCCCAACAGCCAGATGCTGTGTGTGCAGACTGGGTCTAAGCCTTCGACTCTTGCCCAGTCCTCCCTGCACCGAGGCCCCATGGATCTCTCTGCGGGTGGTGGGCCCACAGGAGGGCTGGCCCACATCGTCCGTTCGGGCTGAGCCCGGCCGGGCCCCGTGGGCTAAGGCCCGGCCACCAGACGCTCGCATTCGAGCCCCAACCCCAGGCTTGGCTCCAGGGTGGGGCCCCGGCTGCGCCATGCCGGGCGACGTCACGTGTTCTGTTTTTGTGCTATCTATGGTGGCTTCAGACTGCGCTTTGTCTGACTGGTCACCTGAGACCTGTCTGCCATGGGAGACCCTACCAGGGGCATGAAGCCCCAGACAGCATAGCTCTCAGGATCACCCGAGTACTCAAACTCCCCCACCACGTTAAGGTGGCAGTCCAGGGGGGCTATTGTTCCAATAGTTTTTGTCTTTATTGAGTTTAGGGAAAGAAAATACATTATCACTTACATTTTCGTTTGGTTAAGTCCCATTTCCCAATTTAAAACAAATATGTTTTTGTAGATTTTCAATGTGCTGTCCAAAAACCCAGCAGCAATCGCAGCAGAATCTGCGGTGTTGTCTTTGTTTTCTTTTTTTTTATGAAAAAGTAAATGAAAATGATTGAAGAATATTAAAAAGCAAAGCAAGGAAGGAGCAGCAAGAAAGCATCTGCACACTCTGGACGCAGAGCTTTTAATGTCAATTCTTACTTAAAAGTGCAAGCATGTAACTGTGGTGATGTTGGAGCTTTTGCTAATAAACCCTCACAATGCCACAGTTTAGATGAACAAAAACATTCGGTAACACTTTACATTACGGGCCGGTAAGTCCATGGTACTTACAGTGGTACTTCTAGGTACTTACAGTGGTACTTACGGTGGTACTTACAGTGGTACTTACAGTGGTACTTACGGTGGTACTTACGGTGGTACTTACGGTGGTACTTACGGTGGTACTTACGGTGGTACTTACAGTGGTACTTACGGTGGTACTTACAGTGGTACTTACGGTGGTACTTACAGTGGTACTTACGGTGGTACTTACGGTGGTACTTACGGTGGTACTTACCGTGGTACTTACGGTGGTACTTACGGTGGTACTTACAGTGGTACTTCTAGGTACTTATTGTGGTACTTACAGTGGTACTTCTAGGTACTTACAGTGGTACTTATTGTGGTACTTAGAGGTACTTATTGTGGTACTTACAGTGGTACTTCTAGGTACTTATTGTGATAATTCTAGATACAGCTGTAACTTAGTAATTCAAGGACACTACAGTATTATTCCTATGTAGTAAATGTGGTACTTCTACATACATACATACAGAGGTCATTTGTAGGATTGTTTGACTATAAAACATAAAACAACATTATGTAAAACAAACGTCTTTATTAATATGGAATAAGTAGCACAGAAAGGACAGTATAAATACATTTAATGCATATTTCAAAACAAGTTTCAAGGACAAGGGAAACACTGCAAGAACTAGGTACCCAACCCAAGTAACACGAATTACACATTACCAGGTACTTACCAGGCAAGTACCAGGTACTTACCAGGCAAGTACCAGGTACTTACCAGGCAAGTACCAGGTACTTACCAGGCAAGTACCAGGTACTTACCAGGCAAGTACCAGGTACTTACCAGCAAGTACCAGGTACTTACCAGGCAAGTACCAGGTACTTACCAGCAAGACCAGGTACTTACCAGGCAAGTACCAGGTACTTACCAGCAAGTACCAGGTACTTACCAGCAAGTACCAGGTACTTACCATAGGGACTGGCCCGTAATAAGACAAAGGACTTTAACATAAGTACCAGTGATAACACCAGTAATTATATAGTAAGTACCAGGTACTTACCATAGGAACTGGCCCATAATAAGACAAAGGACTTTAACATAAGTACCAGTGATAACACCAGTAATTATATAGTAAGTACCAGGTACTTACCATAGGAACTGGCCCATAATAAGACAAAGGACTTACCCATAAGTACTAGTGATACCAGTAATTATATAGTATACCATGTACTTACCAGCAAGTACCAGGTACTTACCAGCAAGTACCAGGTACTTACCAGCAAGTACCAGGTACTTACCAGCCAAGTACCAGGTACTTACCATAGGGACTGGCCCATAATAAGACAAAGGACTTTAACATAAGTACCAGTGATAACACCAGTAATTATACAGTAAGTACCTGGTACTTGCTGTTAAGTACCTGGTACTTGCTGGTAAGTATCTGGTAATTGCTGGTAAGTACCTGGTAATTGCTGGTAAGTACCTGGTACTTGCTGGTAAGTACCTGGTACTTGCTGGTAAGTACCTGGTACTTGCTGGTAAGTACCTGGTACTTGCTGGTAAGTACCTGGTACTTGCCTGGTAAGTACCTGGTACTTGCCTGGTAAGTACCTGGTACTTGCCTGGTAAGTACCTGGTAATGTGTAATTCTTGTTACTTGGGTTGGGTACCTAGTTCTTGCAGTGTTTCCCTTGTCCTTGAAACTTGTTTTGAAATATGCATTAAATGTATTTATACTGTCCTTTCTGTGCTACTTATTCCATATTAATAAAGACGTTTGTTTTACATAATGTTGTTTTATGTTTTATAGTCAAACAATCCTACAAATGACCTCTGTATGTATGTATGTAGAAGTACCACATTTACTACATAGGAATAATACTGTAGTGTCCTTGAATTACTAAGTTACAGCTGTATCTAGAATTATCACAATAAGTACCTAGAAGTACCACTGTAAGTACCACAATAAGTACCTCTAAGTACCACAATAAGTACCACTGTAAGTACCTAGAAGTACCACTGTAAGTACCACAATAAGTACCTATAAGTACCACTGTAAGTACCACTGTAAGTACCACTGTAAGTACCACTGTAAGTACCACCGTAAGTACCACCGTAAGTACCACGGTAAGTACCACCGTAAGTACCACCGTAAGTACCACCGTAAGTACCACCGTAAGCACCACCGTAAGTACCACCGTAAGTACCACCGTAAGTACCACTGTAAGTACCACTGTCAGTACCACCGTAAGTACCACCGTAAGTACCACCGTAAGTACCACCGTAAGTACCACTGTAAGTACCACCGTAAGTACCACTGTAAGTACCACCGTAAGTACCACCGTAAGTACCACTGTAAGTACCACTGTAAGTACCACTGTAAGTACCACCGTAAGTACCACCGTAAGTACCACTGTAAGTACCACCGTAAGTACCACTGTAAGTACCACCGTAAGTACCACTGTAAGTACCACCGTAAGTACCACCGTAAGTACCACCGTAAGTACCACTGTAAGTACCACCGTAAGTACCACTGTAAGTACCACTGTAAGTACCTAGAAGTACCACTGTAAGTACCATGGACTTACCGGCCCGTAATGTAAAGTGTTACCAAACATTCTAAACAAATGATGCCAATACCCTCACCCACTGCACTTATAATAGCCAAAATTGGATCAGTTTTGTAAAATGATTATACAGGATGGACATGGGCAAAGCTCTCTGTTCATTTGAATAACAACTCTTTAATGTTTGGCTAATTGCCAACGATAAATAAATAAATAAACAACGATACTGCTTCTGTCTGGAGGGGCCTACGGGAGATCACCAACTACAAGCCCAAAGCCCCCCTCTGTGCTGACGACCACAAACTGGCCAACGACCTGAACAGGTTTTTCAGCCGCTTCGACGCTGCCCCGGACACCTCCCCCATCCCCCATTACTCTAACGACCCACCCATCAGCTCTCCCCCTACCCTGACAATAGCCTCAGAAGACAACAAACAACTCTTCTTGAGGCTGCACCACCGCAAAGCCCCTGGCCCAGATCATGTGTCTCTGGCCACTCTGAGACACTGCGCCAGTGAGCTAACTCCTGTCTTCACTGACATTTTCAATACCTCTCTGTAGTCTTGCCATGTCCCGGTCTGCTCCGTCATTGTCCCCGTCCCGAAGAAGCCCAGGATCACAGGACTCAATGACTACAGACCTGTGGCACTTATGTCTGTCGTCATGAAGTCATGTGAGCGCCTGGTCCTCTCCCATCTCATGTCCTTCACCTCCCCCCTCCTGGACCCCTGCAGTTCGCCTACAGAGCCAACAGATCTGTAGATGACGCCATTTAGGGCGACAGTAGCTCAGTTGGTAGAGCATTGGCCTTTGAGCCAGAGGGTCGTGGGTTCGAACCCGACCTTCACCATCGACTCCCACTGTCTGCTGTCGTTGTTTCCTTGGCAAGACACTTAACCTCTGGGAACACCAGCCACAGTGGGGCGGCTGCGGCTGTAAAGTGCCAAACTGCTGTTGTGTCCTTAGGCATGACACTTCACCCCCATTGCCTAGAATGAGTCTGGTGTGTGTGTGAATGGTTGGTGGTGGTCGGAGGGGCCGATGCCACAGACTGGTTGTCTCGCTTCTGTCAGTGTGCCCCAGGGCAGCTGTAGCTACAGTAGTAGTTTATCACCACCATGTATGGAGTGAAAGAATGATGACATGTAGAGCGTCTTTGAGTGTCCAGAAAAGCGCTATATAAAACCGATGTATTATTATTATTATTATTATTAACCTGGCCCTCCACCCCATCCTACTGCATCTGGACTCGCCGGGGACCTACACCAGGGTCCGGTTCGTGGACTTCAGCTCTGCCTTCAACACGATCCTGCCATCCCTGCTCCAGGACAAGCTCTCCCAGCTCAACGTGCCCGATTGCACCTGCAGGTGGATCACTGACTTCCTGACAGACAGGAAGCAGCGAGTTGTCCGGGGAAGAATGTGAGCGCGGACTCTCGGATTATAAATACAGGAGCCCACAGGGCTGTGTTCTTTCTCCCCTGCTCTTCTCCCTGTACACTGCACCTCCAGCCACAACTCCGTGAAGCTGATCAAGTTCGCGGAAGACACCACCCTCATTGGACTCATCTCCAACAACGATGAGTCCGCCTACAGGAGGGAGTTGGACCGGCTGGTGTCCTGGTGCAGTGGTAACAACCTGGAGCTGAACGCCCAGAAGACAGGGGAGATGATTGTGGACTTCAGGAAGAGCACAGTCCCCCCGCCCCCACCCTCCGTGATGGACTCCCCCATCACCTCTGTGGAGTCTATCAGCTCCCTCATCAAGAAGGCCCAGCAGAGGATGTACTTCCTGCGGCAGCTCAGGAAAGCCAAGCTGCCTGCACAAATGTTGGTGCAGTTCTACACGGCCATCATAGAGTCCATCCTCATCTCCTCCATCAGTGTGGTTCGCTGGAGCCACTGTCAGGGACAAGCAGAGACTACAGCGCATCTTGCGCTCTGCAGAGAAGGTGATCGGCCGCCGCCTCCCATCGCTGCCGGACCTGTACGTCGCCCGAGCTCGAGGCCGGGCTGGTTGTATCACAGCCGACCCCTCTCACCCTGCACATTGACTATTCCAACCACTCCCCTCAGACAGGAGGTTGCGGTCCATCAGGACTAGAACCTCCCGCCACAAGAACAGTTTCATCCCCTCAGCTGTTGGACTCTTGAACACTTGAACACTTCTTAACCTCCCCGCCCTCTAGAAGTCCCCTACTGCTCTTTATAAAGTCACTTTACTGCCCTTTATAATGTCACTTTACTGCCCATCATAGCCGTCACTTTACCTCACTGTACTGCTGTCACCTTACATTGTGTGCACCATGTGCACTGTATATTAATAGTAATTGTAACTCTATTTTAAATTATTGTTTTTAATTTGTATTTTAAATTTATTCCATAAAAGTGTTTTTTATTTTTTATTTTTTATTATGCCCTCTCTACCCTTTCCTCTCTTTCTGACTGTTGCACCGAGCCAAAGCAATTTCCAACTCTGTGACTTCCTGTTACTTACGTAGCAAAATTATTCTGATTCTGATTCTAATTGACCTGTGTGGTGAACGGCCCACACAACAGAAAACAAGACAGAATATCAAGCAATATTCCTCCGAAAATTCCCTCAATTGTTTTTATTGTGTTGTTTTTTTTGTCTGGTTTCAACATAATATTTGTATTGTGTCCGCACATTTGCTCAATTTTTCTTTCTTTTTTTTTCTTTCTTTTTTTTAGAACTCCCTGGTTCCACCAACTGACATGGAGCACTGGACGAAAGAACAAGTCCGAGACTGGGCTCTCACACTTGAAGGTGTAGATGACAAAGCTGCAAGAACATTGTTTGAGCAGGATATTACAGGACCGAGTCTCATGCTTTTAAAGATGCAAGATTTGAAAGACTTAGGAGTCACATTTGGCCCATTAAAAGTTCTCATTCACTCCAGAGATGAAATTGTCAAGTTCCAAAAAGAACAACTTGAGACTTCTGGTCCCTGTACCGAACGGTCATGCAAACCGTATCCCTTCTACAGGCACCATGATGCATACAGATACATAGAAGGAAGTATTCTGGATGTAACGGAATCTGGGCCATCAGATTTTATAGAACCATGTCATGAATACAAAGCTTTTACAAACACTACGGAGGAAACTAAAATGAGCAAATTCAAATCTGAGGTTATCCGCTTTGCGGCTGCTTTTATGAACAGTCGCACAAACGGAACCATCCATTTTGGAATAGGGGATGTGCAACTTTCACACACGGTCAAGTGCTAGGTGTGGCTGTGGACAAAGATAGAGAGGTATATGACAGAACTTTAAGACGTGCTATTAAGGAATGCTTTGATTTCAAGCATCAAAAGACAGCGAACATTTGCATCAAACCGACTCGATTTGTTAGTGTACTTAACACAAATGTGACATCATCAGAAAAGTTTGTGATTGAGGTAGATATAGTACCTGATTTCACATTATGTAGGGAAGACATCTATTACACACACAACTGTATCAAAAATAAGAATCCAAATAAATCTGAAGATCTGAAGCAGTTTTTTATCCGAGAGGGGTGAACCAGTCGAAACCTCCTGGCTCAAACTACAAGCTCCAAACCAATGCAAGAGTATGATAAATTTGTTGCTGATGTACACCAGTTAGCAAAACTCCGAAGGGAGTCGGAGGAGAAACATCTGAGTCTGGTTAAAAGCCACATGCAAGGCTCTAAGCTGTGCCAGATGATCACTGGGGGTTCTGGCTCTTTGAACAGGTCTTTCTATGAGCACTACATAATAGTGACCAATAAATCCCACCCCATTCAGTTGGACTCAATCCTCTTCCTTATAGAACTCAATCCAACTGCAGTGCTGGACTTTGATCCCCAGTCATTGCAAAATGGGCTATGTATGTGCTTTGAAAATAAAAGTCCTCTTAATCGCCATTTACCTGACCAATATGAAATCACAGAATCCGCTGAGGAGATTGCAAAAAAATTGCAGCTAACTCGAAGTACTAGCTGGGTGTTCTGCAATGGAGGAAATGGTCATGAGCCTTCAGAGATTAATCTCTGGTTGATGGACAAAGGAGCCTCTGTTCGAAAAGTGATTTAATTTCTATGTTGAAAAGACGTTCTACACAGCAAGAACGTTCTTGTTATATTTTTACTAATGTCAGAGGTAAATGACAAAATGGATCCTTTGATTGAGACCTTCTGTACCTTTTATCAGGAGCTCAAGGGCACAGAGCAGATTCTTTGTATTTCTGACAATGAAAATGCATTTACCTCCTGGAAAAACTTGATTGAAGCTCGCTGTGAGGTGGACATCTCCAGTAGAAGCATCTATGAGCTCAGCTTTGCAGAGGTCAATGGCACCATCCGGAGCCTTCTGTCAGAGAACTGTAAAATGAGCCGCTTCCTCCCAGCAGCTGGAGGAGGCAAAGTTCTTCTGGAGAAGAAAGTGGAACGTCAGCTCACTACACTTTATGTTCTGTGTGTGAACCAGTGTGAAGGAGGAAATGAGGACGAAGACACCATCGAGCAGAACTTCTACAGAGGAGGAGAAGTGTCCTGGTGGAATTTCTATTTCTCTGAGCAACCTGGATCCATGCCATTCATTAAAAGGGACAAATTAGGCTACATAGTTGACACACTCATTCCAGGCTTATGCTCTTTGAGAAAAAGCTGCGTTGTCTTGAACCTCCTACATGAAGCTGGGTGTGGTGGCACTACTCTGGCCAAACATACTCTGTGGTTTCTCAGGGACAAATTCCGCTGTGCTGTGCTTGTTGACATGGACACAGATCTTGTTACCGTGGCAGAACATGTGGTCACACTCCTGAAGTGCGGCTGTAAAGAACAGGAACCTCCACTGCCGGTCCTGCTGATGATAGATGATTTTGAAGACATGGAGAGGGTCTTCAACTTACAACAGCTCATTGAGAAAGAGTTTTTGAAAAGTGAAGTCCAGTCCAGGTCTCCACAGGTGATCCTCCTCAACTGTATGAGGTCTGAACTCACCTCTGGACCATTTGATCCAACTGAAGACACTGTATTTATTGGGAACAAACTCACAGAAAATGAGCAGAAATGGTTTGAACAAAAACTTGTTGAAATTGATAAAATCTTCACTGAGACTAAGACTAAGACTTTTTATGGATTCATGGTCATGAAAAGCAACTTCAACACAGAGTACATTCAAAGCATTGTGCAATACACCTTAAAAAGTTTCAATGAGAGAAAAACATGCACAGCTTTTAGCAATGTTGGTACTTATCAGTGCTTACTGCAAGCATGCAGCTCTGTCTGTCTCTTTGTGCGAGGAATATCTTAGTTTGCGACCTATGCAATTTTATGGAGACAGAGAGGTTGAAGAGGGATTTCAAGAGTTTTCATCTCTAGTCTTGTCATGTGACATAAGATCTAAGGTTTGGTTTAAAGGTATTCAAGTGATCCATTCACAAATTGCACTGCAGTGTTTGAAGGAGATTTGTTTAACACACAAAGTCGCAAAAGCTGACATTGTAAACTTAATTTTGACAAATGACGAGCTCCATAACTGCACACAGGGTAAAAAAAAGCTCTTGCAGGATCTTCACAACATTTTAGTCAAAAGGAACCCTCTTGAGCAAGAAGCTCGTTTTAAGCCTTCTATTCTTGCAAGTTCCAAATCTGACAGCTGTACAGAACCTGATGCTGGCCTTCTGAGGGACAATGAGGATAAACTCATTGAATCTCGATTTTCACCCCTCATACTTGATATTGAAAGTGAAACACCAGGATTTGAAGAGAGTGTTCTTAGAAATGCTTCGTTGAGGTTTCATAAGGATGCTGTTATTGCTCAGTTACTATCTCGGTACTATTACCTCAGAAAGAAAGATTTTATTGAGGCTAAAATCTGGGCAAAAAAGTCAATTTTTTTTTCACAAAACAGCTCATATATTTCTGACACCTTAGCACAGGTTATTAAGCATGAACTTAAATATATCATCACAAAGGAAAAGTCCCCCATTGACTCTGCAACGCTACAAAGACTTTTGAAACTGGCCAAAGATGCAGTGAATGCATTCAAAGAAACACAAAAACTTGCAAGGCAAGAGTCATGGCAAAGGCTACAAACCAAAAGAGACTATAGTCCTCTGAATACATCTGGATTCTTGGGGGAGATCCAAGTGTGTGTATGCATAATAGAAGTTCTTCAAAAGACCCCTCTATTCTCTTCTGGCATGGTTCGTCACGACCTTTTGTGCTCAATGCTTTCTGGAAAAACAAAACTTGATGACATGAAAAAACATGAACCTGATTATGTGAAAAATATACAATTCTACAAAGTTCTTTCTGAGTTTACTGACATGCTGTACAACCTCAAGTACATGATGAAATGTAATTTTGATTTCCTAGACAAATTCAATATTAACCTGGGATCAAAATTTGGAATGAAAAAAAGCCATGACCTAATTACCAAGAGGGAGCTCTCAAGATGCTTTGAGAAATTTGCACAACTTTTCTGTTGGACAGAATCAGAAGCGTTACTCAACAGAAGCCATAGCAGAGAGCTGAACCTATTGAAGGCCAGGCAATTCATTGAGAGGCACAAGGTCGATACCTACTCTGGGATTTTGAATTGTCTTTCAAACGACATGGATCCTAAAACCCTGGCAGAAATTGTGAGTGCACACAAACATATTTACACCTCTGGCATGTGCACTGCTGTTGAAAAACTCAACTACATCTACATGAATGTGGCGCTGAGTTATATCAATTTGGCATTAATAGTTGAGCCATTTCCATCACTGGTCCAAATTCTTTGTGAATATCTTGCACATCCGGTGTGGAAGCCTGATTTGCCTCTCTATTTCATAGCAGTTCTACTGTTATGGCCTTGGCATCAGCGAGAGTTAAACCAAAATAAAAGTGCTGACCTGCGGACTCATATCTCAAATTTGAAGACTGCTTTTCATACTGAGATGAAACAAATATACAATGGGAAGAAGGCCATTGTCCATTTCTTCTTAGGAAAAAAGCATGGTTATGAACGCATAGTGCCTCTAAGGGAAGTGATACAACATTGCAAGGCTGGGGAGAATTTTGCCTCCAATTGGGAAAACGGAGTCTTGTGGAAAGATCCTAATATTCAACAACTTCTTTGCAGAGTAACAGGGCAAGTGAAACTGCGAAACATTCTGATTCCTACTTGCATTCCTGATCTGATTATCGAAGTCACGCCTCAATTCCAAAGTCAACTGCGAGGTTACAAAGAGGGCACCACAGTATCATTCTTCATCGGCTTTTCCATGCTGGGGCCCCTAGCAATTGACATCAACCAATAGAAATATTGAACAATACGAGCGTCATGTTAGCCTGGCCTTAGCCATCCGTACACTCCGTTCAATCATCATTTCACTGAATGTAACGTCTGGGTCTGGTCCCCATGTTAACGATTACAATCGGTTGAATTTCGACCGACCATTCAGAGAGCGCGGAAGGCAGGTGTTGTAGTTAGTTGTGGGTGATGTCAAGAGTTTGCGTCGAACGGGAAGGTTGTGGTTTGGCAATGGCAAAAAATGCGATAGTAAAGTAATCCGGTCTGGTTCTATCAAGAAATTGAAGCCGGAGCAAGAGGAATGTTTAGCAAATGTAATTGCTGGAAAAATTGTGGCGCTACTCCCCACGGGCTCCATTAGCGACCAAGGAGATGGCTAGGCTAAATGCTAATGACAGACTCGGGCACATTACATACGTCACGGTAAGCTCAGATGCAATCGTTTCAGTCTGCAAAAGGAGTTAACCCCTCCTACCTGTAAACGGAGCTCAATGGAGCGCCTCCAGACCTTAGTACGTAATGTAATTTGTACCATGGTGTGGTACAACCAGGCTAGCGTCATGTCACTGTGTTGTCAAAAAGTTCCAATGTCTTATAATATTAATGATAATAATGCATTGATATGCATTATTATCATTATTCATTCGCCCCATGCACAGTGGTGGAAAAAACTATATATAAAGCAAAGATAGCCACATCTGCCCTGGGACACACTGACAAAAGCGAGGCAGCCAGTTTGTGCCATCGGTCTCTCTGACCACCACCCTTTACACACACCAGACTCATTCTAGAAAATGTTGATGAAGTGTCTTGCCTAAGGACACTGGAACACTTTACAGCACTGTGGCACCTGATATTCCCAGAGGTCTTACATTTATTAACCGACATCCCGCTTCCAATTGACCAATGACTCCTATGTGTTTGTTATTATTGCATTTATTTAGTTCAAGACGACTGCTGTATGAAAGTTAACTGAATTCAATTGAGTTCTAGCCAGGCACCACAATGAATGTTGAATCTTTTCCCAGTATAATCACTACTTAAGATTACTTTATTGAGTTTATGTTACAACATTGTTTCTCACCTAAAACAGACCTGGAGTGTTTTTAGATCTATCCACACTAATATCAGGAACTTCTGGCACAAACCTGTAACTCATCCCCTTAAAAGCTCTGCCACATGCCACTTTCATAGGACTACTATGACATCATACTCAGTTTTCCCATAAATTCGTTTTGGTAGTTCCGGGGAAATTACGTTAATTATAACCGCATGGCTACAAATGTAACGCCTTACATGCAGTTAGCATTTTATATTGTTGATACTTGTTTTGCCAAATGTTTTCACAATATAAAACAGGAAATTACTGTAAAAAGTATTTAATCTAAAAATCATGCATAATATTTCTTGAAAATGATTGATTATTATCTGTATGTTATCACCTGACGTCTGATCACATAAATGTCTGTACATGCAATGTTTAATTAAATATGGAAAAATGTGAGTGGATTTGGTAAACTGTTATGTATATATCATACAATGTTTGGTTCATAACATAAGTATTGTTCAAATAGAATAGAATTTTAGAATTTTGGAATAGAATTTTTGGCCAAGATTCAAACTTCAAAGTACCACATTTTTACTACAACAGCTAATTAAAAAGCAAAACACAAATCACTCACACAACAGCATTAATTACATGTTGTTCTGACCCCTGGGGGTCACCATACTAAACTATTTTGGCCCAACTTACATTTTACTTACAACCAACAAAGTTAAGATTAAAATAAATACATTAAAATGTATTTGTTTTCACAAGACTTTTATATCAATCAATCACATATATTTTTAAATTCATACAGTGTCACCCAAAGTGCTTCACAAGCCAAAATCAATAAAAAACAGAACATATAAACAGTGCAAATACATATGAAATATATTGTATTGATAATTCTGTAAAAAATATTAATAAAAGCATAAATGCTTCTAAGAGTATCCAAAAGCACAACAAAATAATAGTCATAGTATGAATAATCATAATAATTATAACAAATAATGATATGATGTTTTTCCCAGCTCTCGATTTTCATGTTTCATGTCGTCCAGCAGAGGTCACTCGTACTGTACATGTCCCGAACAAGGAATGATTAAACCCGGTTTAAATGTTTTTTCTAGTTATGGCTTTACTTTTGAGACTTAAAATAATACATAAAGGATGGCTGGGGTACCTAACTTTCAAAAATGTTCCATATGACAAAAACAATCTTGTTAAAGCATTCTCTTTTTTTTCACTGTGACGGGTCAGAAATATAAGTTCATTTCAACAGAGTTGAATTGTTGGTTTGGTGGTCAGATCTAAAACATTGTTTCGAAATGAAAGTCTGAAGTGACATAATTAGTGGATGTTAAAGTCATTCTTAATTTTAATTGCATATAAAATACCTTGCACAAAAGATATTATCTGCGTGATCCTATTTATGCCCAATGTGACATGTACATTTCTCAATTGGTATCAATAAAGTTTTATATTATCTCTTTTATATTATCTTATCTTATCTTGATTTCATTGCAATCTCTTTTGTCATGATCATTAGTACAATCACTTCTGAACGATAACCAAAATTAACAAGGAACAAACCGAGAGGGTAAAACTTAATTTATTTTGGTTTGTAATAGTAGTCCAGCTTTAAATTTAGATATAATAATGCAACTCTTCACTGCCATAAAAGGTGACAGATGTGTTGTGTGTGGAAATCTTTAGGGGCCTGTTGCAGTAGCATGAAGAGGCAGGAGAGGGCAGCACACACAGGCTGCTGCTGTCTGAGTCTGAAAATGTACTCACAAACTACTTATAATGTATATATATGTGTGTATATATATATATATATATATATATATATATATATATATATATATATATTGGTGCAGTGAATTGAGAAAAATATATACATAAAATATATACATAAAAACATATTTTTCAGAAATAAAAACTGGAAATTGGCATTGTTATGAAGCCCATAAAAAGCTCTGGTGTAACCAATTGCCTTCAGAAGTCACATAAAGAGTGAAATGATGTCCACCTGTGTGCATATACATACATATACACACCTTTTTTGAAAGGCCTCAGAGCCTGCAACACCTAAGCAAGAGGCACCACTAACCAAACACTGCCATGAGGACGAAGGAACTCTCCAAACAAGTACTGGAACAGTGTTGTTGAGAAGTACAAGTCCGGCTTAGGTTATAAAAAATATCGAAATCTGTGATGATCCCCAGGAGCACCATCAAATCTATCATCAACCAAATGGAAAGAACATGGCACAGCAGCAAACCTGCCAAGAGACGGCCGCCCACCAAAACTCACGGACCGGGCAAGGAGGGCATTTATCAGAGAGGCAGCACAGAGACCTAAGGTAACCCTGGAGGAGCTGCAGAGTTCCACAGCAGAGACTGGAATATCTGTACATAGGACGACAATGAGCCGTGCGCTCCATAGAGGTGGGCTTTATGGCAGAGTGGCCAGAAGAAAGCCATTACTTTCAGCAAAAAACAAAATGGCACGTTTTGAGTTTGCGAAAAGGCATGTGGGTGACTCCCAAAATGTATGGAGGAAGGTTTTGTCTGATGAGACTAAAAATGTGTTGGAATGGCCTAGTCAAAGCCCAGACCTCAATCCAATAGAAAATCTGTGGTCAGACTTAAAGATTGCTGTTCACAAGCGCAAACCATCCAACTGGAGCTGGAGCAGTTTTGCAAGGATGAATGGGCAAACATCTCAGTGGTAAGATGTGGCAAGCTCATAGAGACTTATCCAAAGCGACTTGGAGCTGTGATTGCCGCAAAAGGTGGCTCTACAAAGTATTGACTTTAGGGGGGTGAATAGTTATGCACATTGACCTTTTCTGTTATTCTGTCCTATTTGTTGTTTGCTTCACAATAAAAAAAAAGACAACATCTTCAAAGTTGTGGGCATGCTCTGTAAATTAACTGATGCAAATCCTCAAACAATCCATGTTAATTCCAGGTTGTGAGGCAACAAAACACAAAATGCCAAGGGGGGTGAATACGGATTATATATATATATATAAAAATAATGTATATATATATATATATATATATATATAATATGTATATATAGTTTCCCAAAGTGGGAAACTCCTCCAAAGGTGGTGGAGAATGAGCGTCCGAAGATCCTGTGGGACTTCCAGATACAGACCGACCGAATGGTAATGGCGAA